ATTCTCCTGCTGGTCCCCTTCCTCTACTTCGTCGAATTCCAGCAACATTATTTCTTCCTCCGATCCTAGATGCATGAATAAGGCATAAGTATTACGAATGCATATATGTTAACAAGTGCATCATGTTTATTGAGTAGGTGCATATCTCTTCTCAATTATTTAATTAACTACTTCCACAACGCATCGACTATATCACAAAACAACAGCTACTTGTTTCACTCATAACTGGAGTTCTACTAATCCAAATGCAGTGATCCTGGACTTTCTGGAAAGCTTATCAAATTATCTACAACTTTGTTATTAATCATTTTTACAGCAACCATCATCCTTATCATGCAACTTATCAAACTACAGAATCTGTACGGAATCCTTTTAAATTTGCATTTTGAAGCAACGATACTTCTACTTCATGTAATCACTCAAAGTTTAACAACATAAAGCCTACCAACAATTTAAGCATACCAAATACATTCAAGACAATATAATGGTAAAACCCAAACTATTTATTGAAATGCCTTTATTATTTTATTTAGATATTTAGTTTAAATAATAAACATATACCAGAGGTGCATCATAATTTCTCAGAAAATTACAGTGGCTTACTGGTGCTACCAATAGACTACTGTAAAAGTTTAATACCATTTTACCAAGTAAAACATCCTATACAAAAATAACAAGGTAGCAAGGCTTGAATTAGCATAAATAGAAAACCCTATTAAAAAGTGTCAAGCAACAGATTTCCTATTTTTCTTAGCATCCATATGGTACTAGGATTACCTCCAGCAAATTTCATGAATTTTGGATTCATAATTAATTTATAAAAATTCATACAAGGATTAACTATTTATAAAAGAAAAATCTATAACTATAAATCTATGCATGCATTGATTCTCAAATTTTTACCAGAGCTCATACATGTCAAGAATAGCTTACCACAAAAATTTCATAATTTTTGGAACACAGGAACTCTAGATATAAAATAAACAAATTTGCATGCATTCAAAAACACATTTCAAAGCTCTATTTAAATCTCCAAAAATTTCTACTGTAAATGTCAATAATATATTTTTCCTAAATACTACACTTCCTAAGGAACATAACCAAATTTATTTCACAATTTTTGAAGCTACCAAACTGGAGATCTAGAAATTACAAAACACACACAAAATTTGGAATATTTGAACTAGTATTAGAATAAAGGGTCGCTGACAGCAGGGACCCACGCGTCAATTGGACCCACACGTCAGCGACGCGAAAACAGAGCAGCTACGCTGCGCGGCGGTGGCGCGGTCAAAGCTCGCCGACGGCGAACTTGCCGACGGTGACATCATCGCCAGATGTTCTACTCGACTTCGCGCACACAATGCTCTACTTGGTGGGACTTCTCGTCGGTGGTAGCAACGGTAGCGGCGGCCATGGCGGGGCGGAGGTGCGGGCCGACGGCGAGACGCCGGTGGAAGCTACGGCGGCTCAAACAAATGCTACGCCGAGCATCACATAGATACGGCGGACCTAGCTAGCGCTCTATCGTGGCCTGGGGTGGACGGTGGCGACGTGGCCACGACGACGGGGCTCACGGTGATGCTCCGGCGAGGCTTTGCACGGTGCGGTGGCTTACCAAGCTTGAACAGCGGGCACTGGGGGACGTAGGAAGTCGCTGGGAAGGCGGTGATGCTGTTGCGGTGGCGAATGGGTGGCTCAGCGCTAGCTTGAGCTGGCTATGGCGACGACGGAGGCGAGACGAGCTCGGTTGTCGCTGCGGCGAGGAAGGAGGAGGCGAAATGAGGAAATGAGGGCGCGGCTGAGTGCGGACGGACGCTGGGGAGTTGAAGGCGCGCTCTGGCCTGGCTTTGTCGCGTGGGGCAGGGCGCCGGCGACGCGCGGCCAGCGGCGACGTCCACGCGGCGCGCGGACTCTGCTCCGGTCGGCCACTGAATCCACCGATTCAGTTAAGCCATGCAGTGCCTGACAGCGAGTATTCAAGGTGATTTAACTGCTAAATCGTAGCTCCATAACGTAAATGATCTACACGACTTTTGTAGTCCTATGTACCAGCTCCATTTGTTGTTAAAGAATCATGCTCTAATTCACAACCGAAATCGAGTTATGTCACCCTAAAGGTCAGCTCGTTAGGCTGTTCATCATCCAGACTTAGAAAAATATTGTTAAGTGTTGAAATGGTTGTTTTGCTGATTCTTGTGAGTCCATTTCAAGCATGTTAGAAGCTAAATCAGTCAATGACCCAAAAATAAAAGTTGTTCCTCTTGCCAAACACTACAACTTTGCTTTAGTGACCACCTCCATGCAAGGTCTCTAACACATGGTTCAAACTTGGTCAAACAAGCTACATTCAAATGATGACTTGAACAAGAACTATGGCTTAGTGATCTATTTAGCCCTAGCTATGAATATCAAAGTTGTTCATAATGATACTCTAAACATGTTTAGGCTAATTGCAAGGTCATACAATCATTTCATGTATTAGTCACTCATAGAGCTATTTAGTGTAATCACATGAAACATGACTTAAGGGCTTGATCATGGGAAGTGACATTCATGAACCATGTTCCATTTGCTAACCTAAGTGTTGCTAACATGTTTTTGTGACTCATATCAACCAATCACATGTATACACTCATAATCATATGCAATAACACATGGAAACATGAAATAGTGAGAAAAGTTGCATATGTTCAAAGAAACATGCGATAACAAGCAAATGTTACAGATGTTTCAATCAAATGTTTCAAGTGTAAATGCATATATATGAATGCTTGATGATCATGCTCATGCTATGCAAGTCAAGTTATGCAAGGCTAACACCTAGGGTGTTACAACCTTGGTGAAGGCAGCAGTGGATGGTGACGGCTATCACTTATCGGCAATGAGTTGCCTGATTACTGAAATTAAGCTGCTTGCTTCGCAAGAATTTACTAGCTGCATAATTAGTGTGTGTCCTTGTTTATGTAATCACGTAGCACAGAACTCGCAGTCTTTGGTTGTACTTTACCCAGTGGTGCACAAACCGTTTGGAATGATGTACCTCTTGAGTTTGAGGCTCTGGTGTCCGGCGATTCGGCTATGACAGATGAGTAATGCAAAGTGATTTGCTTAAAAAAAAAGTGCCACAAACAGGTAAAAAAAGGTTTCATCCCTCAAGCTACCAAGGAGGTGGAGCCCTATCTATATCTATATTTATATATCTTATGATTCTAAAGCCCACTAGGTTCTATCTGGATATATGAGGCGCTGTCCACCTCAGCAGTCTACTATCAGACATAATTATAGCTCACTAACATGCATTTACTTTTCCACATCAGCGTACCACGCCATCCACTAAACATAATTTATGATAGTTTATCGCTTCATATAAGTAATTATATATACTCTAATTTTGTTCCAAACCACTTGCAATTCCCGCAGCAACGCGTGAGCTAGGTAAGCTTCTTGTCATGTTTAAACTAGAAGCCAGAGCTAAAATTTGTAGCTTGTGTCTATTTCCTCTTAGAAATGCTCTTGGAAACTTTTGTCAAATGTTTTGACAATATATTTGACCTCTAGTAGAGAAGCTACTTCCCTCCGTTTGTGTTTACTTATCAGCAACTTTTTACTGTAGTAAATTTGACCATCTGTTTTTTCTTCTAAAAAATCTTAGATACTTCAATGTATATAACACTAATGAAGTATGTTCAATAAAAAATCATATATGTGAAAACTTGATGTATTTAAAAATCTTTTGCAGAAAAAAACGTATGGTCAAAATCACTATAGTAAAAATTCAGTGACAAATAAATGAAAACGGAGGTAAGTATATTCTACCATAATAGCCATTGCCAAAACCATTTTAGGAGGAGCCAGCCACGTCGGAGCCCTGTCAAACATATCCTTGATAAAGTTGCGTAGGAAAACACCCGATAACCTTCTAGAAGCTGTCAAGCTTTATTATTTACATGACGGATCATTCGCAAACGACAATCACGTGACGTGAGCAGCTAGCCTACACGACCGTTTGGCACCCGGGTTGGGATCTCTTTCTCTGCTGAGAGATCGTGTCAGGTACCTGCACTGGAGATAATGTTAAGCTGCTCGCATCAGTCCTTAATCACTTGCAGCAGTAGCAGCAGAAGCTACGTCTACTCGTAAAACAAAACCAAATTAAAATTGATAACTGTTGTCAAAAAAATTAAAATATGTGTCTACTCAAACTCTGAATTACTAGCACATCAGAATTGTTCTTAAAATCTCAATCATATATGCTATATTTATACTGCATCAAGGAAGCATCATAAGTTAACACGTTTGGATCCCACGGTCTAAAGTCTAGCCAATAAACTTTAGATGACCACTTTAGCTTTTATGGCTCCAAACAGATGATTTAAAGTTGAGTTTAAAGTTTAACCACCTAAAAAAAGGCTTTAGTTAATTAGACCATATAGGTGAACTAAAGTGGTCTAAAGTTTAGCCCCTTAACTTTAGCCAACTAAAGTTTAGCTCCCTAACTTTAGTCCACTAAACTTTAGAGCACATGGTCCGAAGAGGACCCATGTGCCACATCAATGCAACGCGTTGTTGGTTCTGATCCGTTCGACACATGGTATATCTAGTCTGGACTAGAGGTTTAGGCAAAAACCACGGATGGTTCGACAGACACATGATATATCTAGTCGTTGACATCTCCGGACACGGCACGGTTAGTTGCATGCGTCGTTCTCCCACAACCGCCTATCTGTCTGTCTCGCCGAGATCGTAATGCGGGCTGCTTCTCATGCACATCAAAGACCGGAGAAAAGGAGAAGAACGCGGTAGAATCGATCGGAAAGGTACCAAGATGCATGGGTCCGTATGTTTGCCAGTGCAGCGTGCCAATGGTACGTACGTAGGAAGCCGACGATCGATGCAAATCCAAACTTTTGGGCTTATTAACAAGCAATTCTATCTTCTATACTACAAAGAGAGCAAAGGGAGAGACGACCAGATCGATCAGCTACTTGCCTAGTTAGCTACAGGTTCCATAAGAACGCACCGAGCCCCGAGGCAGGCATAATGCCGGCCGGCTGCGTCGTCCAGAGCTGCTGGTCCGTGGCGAACCCGGTCCCGGGCACCACCATCTCGTCGACGTGATGCGCCGCGATGCCGCCGCCGGCTTGCATCATCCACGCGTTCGTCTCATACGCCGACCACGGGTCGTCGGGGAACGACGCCGTCCAGCAGACGTCGTCCTCGTCGTTGATCGGCGGCAGCTCGACGATCTCCTCCAGCAGATCATCCTCGTCGGGGTCGCCTACTACTGACGCCTGTAGTCCCGGCACCTGCTGGGGCGACGAGGGCGACGACGACGACAGCGGCTCCGGCTCCGGCGGCGGCGACGTCGGCAGCACCATCGCCGCAGCCGCCGCGGCCACGGGCACCACGTTCACGTCCATGGCGGCGGCGCGCGCGGCGGCGGCCTGCACGTCGCGCGGCGCGGCGGAGGCCGGGCGCGGCAGGGACGCCGCCATCTCGGGGAAGTTGAGCACGGCGGCGCGGCCCTTGACGACGAGCGCGGCGGCGTCGTGCGCGCGCGCCGCCATCTCGGCCGTGGGGAAGGTGCCGAGCCAGATGCGGGACTTCTTGCGCGGCTCGCGGATCTCGGACACCCACTTCCCCCACGCCCGCATCCGCACGCCGCGGTACGCCGGGCTGCGCCGCCCGCCGCCGTGCCCGCTGCTTTTCCCGCCCCTGCTGCCCCTCTTCTGCACGCTGCTGCCCAGCGGCGACGCCGCCGGGCTGCTGGGGACGACATCGGAGTCCGGCATTGCCAGTGCTGCCACCAAGTGAGTCCTGCAGTGTGCGCGCGAGGGCAATGCAACGCGCAAATGTGCTGTGCAGGCCTAGCTGCTTGGTGCCGTATGAGCTAGGCTACAAGCTAAGTCTTGGTCTCGGAGATGGATGGATGTTGATTTGAATGCGAAGCGAAGGAGAGGAGGGGGGTTTAGTAATGGTTGGTTGGAGCGCAGTGACGACACTGACGGCTCAACAAACGGAACGCTATTGCTACCTTAGCTGTACTACGCTCTCTGTATATGATGCTCTCTTTTTTTGCTTGCGTTGTTGCATCCATGGATCCAGTCAATATCTGCCGGCAGGATGACCGCCCGGTACGGTGCAACGGATAAATTTTCAACCAGACCGTTGCAGCACCTAGGATAAAATTGCTTACGAACGCTACAAGATATATAAGATGTTCGCTTGCTCGTATACGATCGTGGATTATAAAATGGAACAGTGTTTTCCTCTCACACCAAACCAACCAGTAGTAAATAATCTATGGTCGTTTACGACGAAACGAACATGCTGATGATCACCAGCTAATTTGTAAACGCATCATCCTAGATATCATGAAAGAACACACCGTTTAAACCATATATCTAGTACACTCCACTATATATCCATACAAAGAGTGAGAGCTGGCAGTAATTCAATCGGTAATCCAGCTATTATCCACCCTGGATGAAAAGGTGCAGGGTAACTTCAGTGATGTCATTGGACATCTGTACCATACTAACTGCACATATATCGAGATGGCGTCCTACAGAAGTACTTCATTTGCCGGTTTCGACAGTACCGAGTCCAGACAATGTACCAGAACGTACACCTGGGCTCTGCCTGGCACAGTTGCCGCCACACAGGGTAGATCGTCCATTATTGCGCTTACAATTAGGCCTCCGCTCATGGTAATGTTTCAGGAATTGACACGAACGTTGAAGAATTTCCACAAGAAACAGTGCGATTCTGTTATGAATTAATTCTAATGGAATCCCCATCCCCACAGTCCAAAACTGGGGGTTCATCGGTGCTACAAAGTTTGATGTGATACAAAATTTGCATGCGATCCATAGGCAGGAAGATTCCATCACCTGTCTCGCAAATTTGATTTAGTTACCTGATTCCCTCATTAATAACTGACAAAAAAAATTGATGATTTGATCTGACACAACCCATTCATTGACACATGACACCGGAGGGGAATTGTGATCGGTCGCTGGATGATTGACTTATATGGCTAAGCTATGGGGGTGCCTAAACGTTGTGAATCTTTGCTAGTATCCGGTAGAATTGCCAAGCAATCAAGATGTTGATATATAATAACGGGAAATTCATAGGCCGGCCTATGACAGCTCAGTGGGATGCTAGGAGTAATGAAGGTCGATCCGTAGCTAACCCTATGTCCTTAAAGCAGTTGATGTAACGCATGTATTTCAAGTTGAAGTCATATACTCATATAGCTCATTCGAATGTGTAGTCTAATACTCCCTCTCTACCAAAATAAATCAACTTATAGAGTTGTTTTAAGTCAAACTATTTTAAATTTGATTAAATTTGTACATCTGTGACACCAAATAAGTATACTATAAAGATCTATTTTATAGTATATCTGATGATAATAATTTTGTGCCATAAATAATGGTATTATTTCCTATAAATTTGGTCAAACATAAAAATATTTGACTTGGAACAACTCTAGAAGATGATTTATTTTGAGATGAAGGTAGTAGTTAGATATAAAAAATCATTTTGTTCCTGCAAAATTCTTGTGTTCTAATAAACAGGGACTAACTAGCAAATGCACGGACTCATAGTTCATCAATAAACTAGTATGGTTGCTTCTATTAAGTTATATCTAGATTTGTGCATTGTAGTTTACCTGTATTTAGTTGTCTATATATAGGCCCTTATGCAGTCTACACTACTCAAAGCAGGTCCACTGCAACATTAGCAAGTATACTAGATTTGATCGTTAGTAGGCCTGCGCAAGCTGATAGGGCCCCAAAAGTGGAGATTCCTCACCTCCTACATCTCTACTAGAGCATGGATGTGATTACATGCAACACAATATACACAAAATATGCAACGGTTTCCTAAGTCGTCCGTCTCTATTAGAAATGAGAGCTGTATGTAAAAATGATTTTCTGTACTAGTGTTACTAATTCATTTAGCGCAGATTAAGTGTTAACAAAATACGAAGCTAGGGTGGTCACTTGAAACATGTACATGTTCCAAGTTATTAGACATAATCTTCCACTACTAAGAAAGAATGGTAGGAGACGGTCTCTCTAATTAAAAGAGACCGACCACTACTAGAGAACAGACTTTAGAATGATGTCCTAATTTGGCATTAGCCTCAGCATTTTTTGCCGCCGGGACTAAAGGACCCTTTAGTCCCGGTTCGTAATACCAACCGGGACTAAAGGTCCCTGCCCAACGGTCGTCTGCGTGGCAGGGATCTTTAGTCCCGGTTGGTAATACCAGCCGGGACTAAAGGTTTTAGTCCCGGTTTGGGCGATACCCCGGGAATAAATATTAATCTTTAGTCCCGGTTTGGCCACCTAATCGGGACTAATTATGCGGGCCTATACAACGGCTCATTTCTTCCTCCCCGAGCCCGAGCCATTCCATTCAAACTCACTGCCTCTGTTCTTGACTTTTGTTGTTGTTCTTCTCTCCCCTCCATTGGTGTTGCTCTTGATTTTGGAGGTAACAAACTTAATCCTCTTATGTTTTATCAGTAGCTTATCTCATTTTGCGATGTAGATGCATGTGTAACTTTATATGTTGGACTTTATTATGATTTTATATGTCATTTTTAGCTCAAAATCACATGATGATTTGCATATATGTTTGGATAAACAAAAGTTAAATTAGTTCATCAAAATCACGCCTCGCTCGTCCTCACTGGAGCACGCGCCATCCTCGTCCCCGGCGACTTACGTGATCTTAGAATTAATTTTTCCATGAAATGAAAAACTTAGAAAATAGTTAGAAAATTATAGAAAATCCGTAGTTGAACTTGCGGACCGTGATCATCTCGGCGAGCATTTTCTCCGCCGAGCGGTAACGGACGTCAAGGAGGAGCTTTGATTCTACGAGGGAGAGCGGCAACGGTCGTGGAAGACCGTGTTCCCTTCCTAGTAGAATTAGAGCTCTTCCTTGGCCAAGTACGGTGCTGTCCAGTGGAGAAATGCTCGCCGAGATGATCACGTAAGCAAGGTCAACTAGTACGTATGGTTATTTATTGAAACATGTTTTTGAGCTATGTGATTTCTATGTCATTTTTAGCTCAAAATCACATGATGATTTGCATATATGTTTGGATAAACAAAAGTTAAATTAGTTCATCAAAATCACGCCTCGCTCATCCTCGCTGGAGCACGCGCCATCCTCGTCCCCGGCGGCTTACGTGATCTTAGAATTAATTTTTTCATGAAATGAAAAACTTAGAAAATAGTTAGAAAATTGTAGAAAATCCGTACTAGTTGAACTTGCGGACCGTGATCATCTCGGCGAGCATTTTCTCTGCCGAGCGGTAACGGACGTCAAGGAGGAGCTTTGATTCTACGAGGGAGAGCGGCAACGGTCATGGAAGACCGTGTTCCCTTCCTCGTAGAATCGGAGCTCTTCCTTGGTCAAGTACGGTGCCATCCGGTGGAGAAATGCTCGCCGAGATGATCACGTAAGCAATGTCAACTAGTACGGATGGTTATTTATTGAAACATGTTTTTGAGCTATGTGATTTCTATGTCATTTTTAGCTCAAAATCACATGATGATTTACAATAGTAAAATCACTTGATAGTTTGGTATTTTACTATTATACATAGTACATATTTCATGGTTTAGTTAGATAAATAAATAATTTTAGTTTTGTTTAAATATATTATTTTAGAAAATGTGAAATTTATAGTAGTTTGCAAAAATAAGTATAGAAAGTAGATGACAACTGGTACCGGATCCTCGGCCTCTCGTTCGGTTGCGAAACGACTGAGGCCAGAACTCCCTCTCATTATCTGCTGCAAGTGTAAGCAGAATATTGTGATGGAGTACCGAGTCAAGAGACAGGGACCCAACAAGGGTCGTGTTTTCTATAAGTGCCCAGATCGCGATGTGAGTTTCTTACGCATTTGATTATTATGGCTAATTGACTGCTTTTCTTGAATATTTTGACTAAATATTTTTGGCTTTAATTTGGTGGGAGGGCAATGGATGCGATGGTTGGTCTTGGAAGGAAGATTATGCTACATACGTGCGAGAATCGCTCATCTGTGATGAGGCGATGAGCAGTGAGGAGAAGCTTATTGATATTCAACGGAAGAATGATTTGTCTGCATTTTTAGTTGCGTCACGATCACGAAATAATTATATTCTTGAAGTGCATTGTAGTTTTAGTTTGTTTAGTGATAGTTGGGATTGCTTACGTTGTAGCCAGGCTTAGTTAATTAATCAACCGTGTGTGTCATCTATGTTGTGTAATAAAATACTTAATTATGTTCAAGGTTTTCATAATTTGTCGTGTAATACAGATTATGTCATGCCATTGGATGTACAATGCCGATCGTCGCTCCCAAGACTTTATTGAGGGCTTGCACTATTTCTTAGGTGTGGCCGAGGCAAATAAGCGGGATGGTTTCATGTGCTGTCCATGTGCCCTATGTAAGAATTTAAAGGAATATTCAAGCTCAATAAGTCTTCATTCACATTTGGTTAAGTCAGGTTTCATGTCAAACTATATATGTTGGACTAAGCATGGAGAAAGCGGGGTCATGATGGTAGAAGGTGAAGGAGAAGATTTAGACATTGATGACATTATTGCTCAGTATGGTGCCTTTGATGATACTACAATGGGGGGAGATGAAGAAGAGGTAGCGATAGAAGATGATCTCGGTGATGCTCTTGGCGATGCCATTCGTGATGCACAACAAGAATGGGAAAGTGAAAAAGAGAAAGTTAAGTTCGAGCGCATACTTGAGGATCATAGGAAG